AAAAAAAAAAATGTTAATTTTTTATTTTTTTTTAAATGGTTTAATAATAATAATTCTATATTTGCTTATTTTTTACAAGTTAGTTCCTCTTACTATATTTATGTATACACTATTATACATCAAAGCAAGTTCATTGTATGTGTAACCCTACTTGGCAATTGAACCTTATTCTAATTCTGATTATTCAAATCTGAAGAAAACCAGGCCTGTGTTTTGAAGATATTAGTAAGTCTAATGTCAAGGCATAATTATAAAAAAAGTTACACATCACATTTTAAACTTTTTCTTCTGCTCTACCTTGAAATCATTTTGGCCCATTGTCTTATGTGACCCACATAAATACAGCCGTAGGTGATGTTGAGTCACCTCTTGTGGATAGAATCATTATTCCCAAAGCTTGTGATAATACTGGTGTATTTGTCAGAGGGAGTTCACCTGTTGAAAAGTGCTGTGCTGATGTTTGGTTCAGATATGAAGGACTCTGATAGGCCGCTCTCAGAGAAAGACCTCGGCCGGACAGGGGGGAGGGCCCATGCCTGTCCAGTGAGCGAAGAAGACAAGATGGCTGCTGCTAAGGCTGATCTGTTGATGTAAAGACATGATTAAAATAAGGAAAGACAGATGCTTTAAGTAATATAAGCACACAAAATGCTGTTCTTGTTATATAAAATATATTTCCTTTTTCCTAATTGAATTCACCATTAAGAGCTAACAAATGCTACTCTTGGAAAATATTGCCCATTAGTTGCCCCAAAAGACACTGCTTTCACAGGCTGTGGAGACACATTTACTCAAATAACATATGTAAAAAACAATTTTGAGGTAAGGAGAACTTGAGTATTTCCATGTTCGGCTATTTTGTAATTCAACTCCACAACATTTCAGAGAAAAAGTTTACTTTAAACTCTAACCGATTTAGCTGTCAGCTTTATTGACTTTGCAGATTCTGATTAATAATATAAAATATAACCAACAAACAAATAAAGATGTCATTTTATGGTATAAGATATAATAATTCCTGGGGGGGGGATTCACAAGCTACCCAGCAGTATTTAAAATAAATATTTATTAACTTGTAGTTTACTCTAGTCATTTTAACACATGAACACACTTTTACATAATTTTTTTTTAAAGTATGTCTACACTATTACAACATTTACTAAAGTGAAAGTTGTGATTACTTATTTTACCGCTGATTATGGGGGGGATAAAGAGAGGAGAGTGAATCTGTATTTTCTTTGAATTCACTAAGGAAATAACTTTTTACTAATGCATACAAGGATGTGATTTGGACCAAAGGAAGGAATTGTCAATACAAGAGGATGTTATTGGTTGGAGGTGTGGGGTACCTGGGTCTCTCAGGTGAGGGGTTTGGGCTGCGGGGGGGCGGGGTACGAGGCACAGCAGGCTTGGGGGCGATGGAGGCAGCAGGGATCAAACCATGAGCTATATGCTTCTACACAACACACAAGGGGGAGGTTAGGAAGGGGGTTAGCATCACATAGACACATTATCACACACTATGTGGGTCATATGGTTGACATAGTGTCAAACCAACATTGAGGAAAAAACAATAGGGAAACACAAGAAGGCCATAGGGATGGAAAGGAAAGGGTAGAGAAACAGCATGACCACTTGAGATAGCAAACCCTGACCTACTCAGACAAAAGGCAGTAACAGCAGTGGGCTTTCCCTACTATAAATACCACTTTTGTTATGAATTGGTCACGATATGTAGCCTACTTTGACTGCCACTATAACAGCAAAGCTGTAAATGAACAATGAATGCATCAGTTTAATGAATGCCTCAGTTTAATCACTGTTTTGAGCATGAACATGAATATCATTGACACACAATTCATTAACGTTACAAAAACTGGCGTTAGCAAATGTTAGCTTGAACAGTTCTGACTATCACTTTCGCTAACGTTTTACGAACGTAAAGTTATCTAACGCCAGGTTAATGAATGTTAGCTTAATGATTAAAAAAAACTTGTAAGATATACGTTTAGCTAGCTAGAAGTAGGACACGGTTAATTAGTTTTAAAAAAAGACGTCAAACTTACAAACTCCTTGTCTTTCTCCCTCCTGAAACTGAATTTGAACATAGTGGAAAATACGTTTTTGACCCTTTCCTTCAACGGCTTAAGTTTCAGTTTAAGCGAACGGCTGGACTCGTGTACCAAACATTATTTCAGTCAAATGGCATTAGAAAGTTGTGCTTGTCATTATCATATGTTTCTAATGTTCTCAAATGTTACGCTTTTGGGGCTAAAACCTTAATAAAAATGAGCACGCGAGGTCTCTGCATTCAACAAGCTGCAGATTTCTGGTATCTAGACGCTTCGTCTCAAGAATGCACCTTGCTATAAAAGTAGTGCTGATTGGCTAAGAGCGAAAAGAGAAGCCAATCAGTGAGTGGTATGTTTCACATAGCAACGAGGTCCTTACCGACCGTTGTCAAGCCAATAGGGGGCGACGTCGTTCCATGTGCTGATCAACTGCCACACCATTCCACCAGCACAGGGCTGCTGAGACGAACAAAGACGTTCATCCTTTTTGTGTCGATAAATCAAATGTATGCATACTAAATATATATAGAATGTAATGTGTAGTATAAAATAATATATTAGTTTTACCCATATCTTACATGACAGACCATTCAAATGTGTCTTCAATCCAATACAATTTCTTCAACAATTTGTGCACAAAAGGAACATGATTAAAGGAAACTAACAAATTTGTTTTCGGCAAGTAGCCTAACCAACTAACCTTTGACCATTTTAGAGTAGAGTAGAGCTGTTATCAATTGTGTGCTTCCCATGAATGTTCAGTCCTTTGGCAATAAATCAGCTGAAAATGTGTTATTATCAAGGCCTGCTCTTTGCCCTCAGGATTGGTAAAAGTGTGAAATGAGAAAATCAACAGATTTAGTTTCTGCAACATCAGCGTTTTCTGTTCAAATAAACCCTGAAGAGAATTTGACCTTGGGGTATTTCATTTTCAAAGTTCAAAGCTATGTGAATAAACAATCATCTCTTTAATTATGGTAAAATTCCATACCACACACAGACAAAAGCCCAGACATGGCACAAAGAACATGAAAGGTACAGTATGGGTGAAGAAAGGCTTGATGGGTAAAACTCAATCCCATGGTGTTTCTTGCCTGTTTTCATGATTAGAATGTCATGTGATCCCAAGCTAGACTCCACCGGTTACAAACGCATGAGTGGTGTGTGTGTGTGTGTGTGTGTGTGTGTGGTACACTGAGGGCTGTCAAACTTCATTCCTCTCATTCCAACCTGACTGGTAGTCGCAAATTACTGACATATACATAGAACACAATATATACATATTTAAAAAAAACGTTTATGAAATTAGTTTTGTCCCCCTCTTTTATTGAGATTGTATACATGACAAAAGCATTCACACCACAGTTGCAGATACCATAGACATAGGCATTTAGGATCACTGTGCACAGTAACATGCATGGATATAGATCTGTGAAGTCTTACACATCCTCTCTGTTAGCACTTATTAATATCAATTACTGCACATACACCATTAAGCAAAAATGGCACTTCAGACACCACTTTAGGTAAACATAAAGAGCGTTCATTTTGATCAGTGTAACTGATCTATCTGACTTTATCAGTGTAACCGTTTTACATTTTAAAATATCTTGACATAGAAAAAATGTACCAGTATATAAGTTCACCAAAAAGATTAAGCAAGGCTAGTAAAATACATTCTTCCAAGAAACAAACCGAGAAATCCAACGTGCAAAAATTCATAACTTGACCGTTCACAAACTAGTTCAGAAACCAACATTTTACAAGTATATATATATATATTTTTGTGTGTATTTTTTTCATTATATAAATAATTTGATTATCAAATGTGAATAATAATCTACTTTGTAGATAAAGAGATAGTCCAACACGGCAAAGTGTCAGTAAAAATGTGGGATGTGACTTGGGTTAAGACAGGTAGAGACAACTTGACTGTGGGCTTTGATCGAAGTCACTGTTAGGTGACCGGCGGCAGTCCAGGTGCGACGCAGGAATGTCCACCTACAGACAACCTTTTAACTACATCAAGATTCACATTAACATAGAGAGAACACACAGCTCGTGCTCTTCTTACAATTGGACAAACTGAAAAAAAGGGTAGGTAAGACGGACCAGGATTGTAAGCGGTAAATTCTGACATTTAGACACATGGAGGCATTTTGGTCTTTTTACACAGTGTCCCATGGCACTCAGCAGAACATATTATCCTCAAAGGCTGTCTCACAAATACAAAAGTGACAATAATACATAACCAAGGAATATATATATGATATTTTAGCAGCTTATTAAACATTGCATTCAACTCTTCTTAGTACAATTATTTGTTTCCATCAATCACTGTTTAACATACTCCAACAAGGTTCATAACATCTACATATCTATTCAGAAAATGTATGCATTTCAAACCCCCAAAACTGATTGCAACAAATAGCATGGCAATGACCTAATCCTTCATATAAACAGTATGAAACATGACATGAGAACATAAGAGAGCACAGCTACATCAGTACACAATGGAACTACGTAAGGAACTGCTGAAGCCACAATCAAATTACACCTCTTTGCAGTGGAGTATCCGCTGGGTGTGTTTGTACAACTTTGTTATTGCTCCTCCAATTGGTCTTCGAGAAAACATACTGAGATGACAGTTTGACTAAGAGGCCTGTCTCAGTGCTGTGTGTTTATTTATAGACTGGAATGATAACCGGTGGGTTTCTTTTTCCCACAGTGCAGTTGTACTGTGCTGTACGCATACTGGCATGGTACAGAAAGATTATGTTTTGGTCTGGACACTTCAGGCGCTAACAAAAGGCACCGATATACAGTGTTTGGCACAGCTACCTTCCATGGTAGCTTGCAGAAATGTCATGATTACACCAAGCTACATTCCAGTGGAAACACCTAAGAGCAATGGTACCATAGCAGGTCCAGTATGGGTACAACTCAGTACTGTACACAGGCTAGTATGCTAGGCAGTACGATGTCTAGCTCAGTAGAGGGCACTGTCATTGTGGTTGTAGGAGCTGGAGCTGGGGAATGTGGGGCAGGGTTTGTTCCAGGGAAGGGCCCCGGAGTGGTCTGCTGTGGGAAGGCTGAGGGTGCTGGCGCTCTTCAGCCTGTTCTTAAGGCCGAAGTTGAGGAAGGACGACTTCTTGGTCACTTTGCGGGACTTGGGGTTCTTGTCGTCGTCGTCATACGCCAGGCAGATCATGGAGTAGGTCTTGGGCAGGTTTCCGCAGAAGGTGGCACTCTTGGTTGGCTGGAGAGAGAAATTGAGGGGGCATTTAGTGGAAAGAGAAAGTCATTGTTGGTTCAATCTTATAGTGGCTCTGGAAGTTATCAATCAATACATGGGGTCAATAAGTTAGACGTTTCTAATTAGTCATTTTTTCATTATATTCACAAGAGGTCAATATAATCCTTAATCAGTTTCTCACTCAACTTCCATTTTCTAACAATTGGATTTTTGCTAGACATGGGTTTTTGTAAAACACCGATCACATTCAATTTCCAGTCAGATTTATAATTTCTGATATCAATTTGTATTCTGCACCGCTCAATCAGATATTTGCGAGTTCAGATTTCCCTTTTTAGCATTAGAATCCTTACCTATAATTCTTCTAATAATAGCTTTTTGGGAAAATCAAATTGTAATTGTGAGTCGCATGTGTTATAATTCGACTGGCAAACCTTTTGTTGCTAGTGGCCGATTTAATAGCGCATGTCCAGCTTATTCTGTCAACCCTGTGCCTGTCCGAGTGAGAATACGTCTCAAACTAAATCATTTCAGCTCTTTATCCTGATAATAAGGCTTTTGGCTTATACACCATTTCCCTTCACAGTCCAAATATAAAGAAACTGTATTTGCCAGCTTATTTTCTGATCAGATTACTTTAAACGCATGAAGCGGAAACCCGTTTGATTTTCTCTCAAACTATAAACAATTTCACTTGGCAAACTACCTCTTTATTTTCTTCTGCAAATAGGAAGAAAAGAGGGCATCTTACCATCTGAGGGTTGCTGTCCATAACGCTGACCACCTGGATGGCGACCCCTTCCTCGTTCACATCCTTTAGGAGTCGCATCACATCGCTCACGGCCATCCATTTAGAATCTGTGTCGCCCACGGCAACAATGTAGTCGCCCTCCTTGAGACCTTCGGCCTAGAGGAGACAGGAGGGAGAGCAGGAGTCAGTAAAGTGGTGGTGCTGCAGCAGTAAACATTTACAGCCCCTGGCCTGTATGAATGGAGACTAAGTCAGGTTCCCCTTCTTTCCCTCCAACTGCCAGCCAGGCTCAGCAGAGAGAACACCGGGTCACACCCAAAAAAAGCCATTTGAAACGAGCACCTGCTAGAGAGTATGTGGGAAACCAGCCTAATCTACACAACATTAGATATTTCTGTCTGATAACTTGATCAGTTCCAAAAATAAATGCAGTATTCAAAAGGAGGTTGGCCTAGTTACACTTGTGTAATACAGCTAATCTGTTTCTCTGCCTGGATTAATAGAAGTCTGCTCTTTGTCAGCACCGCTTAATGATCTGTCAGACTGAAAAGGGATTGCAGAGAATAAATACGGATTCTTAATTAAATGAGAAGCCAGAGAGGAGGTGGGGGGAGGGGGAGGGGGGCACCTCCTACATTCTTTGAGGCTGAATCCTGTTTCGGTTTCTGAGAAGGACTTCAATGAATCAAAGGTTCTCTGTGAAAATAATACATTAGAACTCATTTGATATTCAAGAGGTGGGCATGCCTACACTTTAAGCTGTTAGTTGTAGACCAAGTCACTCCCTGCTAGTGAATCGTGTTGCAGAGTTCATATTGAGCCACCTATGCATGTGGCATTAAAGTCTAACAGAAAGAGGAGTACATTGCTTTGCTCCCATGGCAGTACTCCTATCTGTTCTTTCCGACTGTCATTTATGCAATCCCATTTCAAAAAACCTGAACTACTCCCATAACAACACAATCCGTAACACGAGTTTCATAGAAACAAATCTGAGGATGATTTTTGCTGGGATTGATCAACTTTACAGCAAACACTGTTGTTCGACCCTTGCTGCACACAAGGAAAAACTCCCACCCAAAATATACGGAAACATAGAATAAACGTGGTGGAAATCAACTGAGAAGGGTCCCCTCTGCAAGGATAAAAAAACATAGACAATCCAAATGAAGAAAATGATACTGTGAACATATATTAAAAAGAAGGATCCAGGTGTTGGAGCCACTTAAGCACATGCTTATATTTGAGAAAGGATATGTATGTTAGCCTGATAGATATCACTTGAATAATACCACCACTTTTGTTTAGTTTAGTATATATTGATAGTATTGGAATATGCTAAGGTTATGTGTCTTCTACTTCATGTGAGTAAGATGCTGAAAGTCTGCCAGCTTGGAGAGAAACACGTTTTTGACCGTCCTAGCGTGTAGTCGTGTCATTTAATGATTAAATGCAGTATTTTAGAATAAAGCCTTCTTTCGAATCATCAAGTCGGTAGTGGTCCAGCTGTGATGTCTTTTGGATGGAAACACCTGCCATGACGCTGCAATTTACTTTCAATACACCTTAGTTTCACCTGCCTGCTTATATAGATAGCCTTGCAGACAACGTGTGTTAGGAGCTCCTTACAATGGCTAAACGCACACTATACAGAGCCCATTTTCTCACATTAAGGCGAAAGTAATTAATAGTGGTTGACTCACAGCGGCTGGGCAGAGGGGGTCCAACGACACCACGTGGACGGGTGATTCTCCTTTCAGGGTGAAGCCCAGGTCCCGGTCTTCAGGGTGGAGCTGTATTGTGCGCGGGGCCGTCCACCGCTGCTTAGCGGAGAACACTGACAGAGGGCCCTGAGAGGAGACAGTGTGGGGAGGTTGGGGTTAATATGGCTCCAGATTCTCCTGACTCAAGTGGATAATATCCTCTCCTAGAGTTCAAAGATGTTGGTGACAGCCTGAGGGAAACTGATAATAACATAATAATCATTTGTGTGTCTTTACAGGCTGGTTAGACATAATTAAAGTCTACATCTGTGACCTGTTATAACATCAGTACATATACTACTTACACTCAGGGGGACAGGAAAGTCCTATTTAAATGATCTCTAACACCAGTACTCTTACCAGTGTGCTTTTTAAACCAAGGGATTCATATGAAAACATTTTGCATAATATTTAACATATTACTACAATGTGCACATTCTTACTTTAACTTCTTATGTTTTTATTCTATTTTATCTTTTATTTGATATTTTAATGTTTACATACATACCTTATTTTATCTTATATTTTTATTGCAAATTATTACTTTATCTTCTCATGTTTGTATACAAATATATCATTTTAATTTGTTCTCTTATCTCCATCTAAAAATGGACTGTTTAGAAACCCAATTTCCGATCAATCAATATCTTGATTGTGTATTTGAATGCAGCAGATATGCAGTACCTGGCTGTAAATATTGATTATGTGTAATTACACATGAATGTTTGTATATCAAAATGTAACGCTTTGTTAAATGATCCTGAATCACTAAAGCACAAAGTGCTCATGTTGCCTTTCAAACTGACACATGGACCATTTCCCTTAATTGATCAGAAACAGGTCCTACTTTTTAGACTGCTGAAGCCAAATGCTATCCTCCATTGATACTCTTGTTATCTGATGGGAACATCTCTCCTGCACAAAAGGCCTGTGTAACAGCAGATGAAGCCTCTCAGCCTCGCTGCTTTGATTATCACCGAAGCAAATGTATGTCTCTGTGTCCCCAAAAGGATTTGAATAGGGCTGCACCTAATGCTTCAAAGCAACATTCATAACGGTGTCATTTGTAAATTAACATTTAAAATTAGCTTTTTTGCAAGTGTATTCATTCAGGAATGTTGCAGATGAAGATCAGGCTGCAGCGATATTATTAGTATGATACTATTTGAAGAGCTGAATTCCACTGAATCCAGAGAATGGTAAAGTATCTCAAAGTTTAAAAAAAAGAGGATACATTTTCCATTCAATCCATTTTGGAAATCCACCATAAATAACATGTATATAAATCCACGAGAACAAAACGTGCATTTTGACTTGAACATAATTATAGTAAACAAATTAACGAGCAACATTTTTTTGTTGATTCTCCATTGCCAATTTGGAAAAATCCAAATTGAATGACTTTGAATCCAAATCCAAAATCATTTAATTTCATAAATCACTTTATTCAAATTGAGGATTTTGTTATTCTTTTGTTTTGTTTAGCGTGATGTCATAAAGAAATGACAACAGTGTAACCTCAATAGAAGCTCTGATAGTTAACAACAACAATATTTGTCACAGCCCCAGGTTTGAGTCTGAGATGGCTAATGAAGAGCGAGGTTGGAGTTTACAACAGGCACCGAAGAGGTACCTATTCACAGAGGCTCCTCACACCTGCTGTCTGGGAATCTATGACCCTTGACCTTTTTAACAATCGTTTGCTCCCAAGGTTGTTAGTCTTGACATTTTTCTTGTAGATAGGATGGAAAAATAAAACTAAATTGGCCAAATATTTGCCAGATACAGTTCCCTACAATGAAAAAAGGACACCATGACGATTTCAATATCATTTGAAGGTTTATAGAGGATAATATGCAAAAAATATTCAAGCCTTCTTTTTTGTAATCCAAATATCAGTCAGAAATTATCTAAAATAGTAATTTTTTCTAAATCATGCAACCCTAGTAATTGTAAACTGTGCTAAATGAAAGAAGTGACTCGCATATTGAACGCCCCTTAGAGAACATGAAGAGAAACTTGAGTAACAGACCAATGCCCCACCCCCCCTCTCCACCAACACCATGAAGAGTCAAGCTAGGGCCAGAGCACCTTTGTCCACTGTTAGAGTTAGTTTGTTGCTATGGATGAAAGTCCAGCAGGCTTTGAACACACAATATGACTTTGGATTGGCTAATACTGAAATGTGTCAAAGCTTCCAGGAGTCTCATTCTGGGTTGGTTTATTCAGAAATAGCAAGAAACAGACACTGGGTGTTAAAAAGAAACACAAATCCAGAGCTATTTCATGTAATTTGATGAATAACCCAACCCTCATGTACACAACGAAAAACAGTTTTGTGAGTGGAAAATATTAGTAACCCACATACCAGCCTCTCGAAGAAGTCTGTGACTTTCACCTTTGTGGTAGCAGGAAACTCCATCTCTGCTCGGTGCTCTGTTTTAGCTATGGAAAAGAAGGGAGGGAAAAACAAAGGTGTTATTCTGCAATGTTTACTGTCCCAACCTCCTTTCAACTGCGGCCCTGTGGAGAGGCGGGGCAGTGCAAACATTACATCACCTATACGTGCAAATAAACGTCACTCATCACATGTGATAGCAGCAGGTGTGGTACACAACCTTGTAGCCTTTTTTCTTTTAAGAGACCGTTTCCTGAGAGACAAATCAACGCACTGGCATTCTTTGTCATTTGTTGTGGTGACACTAAGGAAAGTTTCTATGTCGACCACAGGGGGAATAACTGTCACCTCAGAAACAAAAAATAAACAAGTGTTCCGATTCGTCTTTTGAAAAGATTTAAGACTCACAAATGATGTCTGGGGCCTCCGTGTAGTCACTGAAATCTTCATCTTCTTCATTTTCACTGCTCTTGTTGAGGGAGCGCTGCAGGCTGGCTCTCAGGATGTCTTGCAGGACCTGCAGCTTGTTCAGGTGGTGGCACAAACTGTAGACCCTCAGAGCCTCCTCGTGACCCAGGATGGCCCGGCGAATGTGTGCTTTACCTGGGGGGGGGGGGTTTGGCAAAGCAATGATGAGCATAAGTTGTATTGAATAAGATAATAAGGAAAGTAAAGGGACACAGTTAACCAGGAAGATAGGTCTGACGTCATGAAGGGGGAGAGTAATGAAATATTTGTGTAGGCTTACCGGAAGTTAACATTGCACATTCAATTAAGTAATATTGCTTTGTTCGGCAGGATAATCTTTACATATTAACACAATGTAGTTTTAACTTTTTCAAAGCGTAAATGCAATCACCAGAAGAAAAAAAGCTCACACAGACAATAAACAAACTCCGTCACAATTGTATGACCTAACGTATTCACCGCTAATGTTGGATCTGAGGACGTTTAAAAGTCTAATTTAGCATCTTGTTAGAAACCGCTGTTTTTAAGACACACTTTAAGCATTCACAAGTTGGGTATTTACTGACATAGTTGATGCTGTAGAACAAAAACCGTGAACCAGCACCAATCTATTTGCTCTCAACCGTTCTCTATTATCCTCTTACCAACGCGTTCACGTTCATCTTTCTTCTTCAGGATGTCAAGAGGAGAGTGTCCCTCAGGAAGGCGATCGTAGACCTGTGACAAGGTCTTCTCCTGCTGGTCTTCATCGTCACTGAGGCCCACTGAACACACAGAGAGCAACAAGAATCAATGTTAAACATCAATAAGCTGAGTCCCTGACTTCCCTAAGCACACTGGGGTTCAAAGTCTTTATCCTTAAAGCTGTGGAGGTCAGCGGATAGCCCTTGAGCCAAAAAGGGGCTTAAGGTTTACTAACAGACATCACTCAAAATGTGACTCTTTGATAAATGGATGGCCAATTGTGATAATGATTATATGGCATTTCGTAATATAACATATAATATTTGAATGATGTAGTATAATGTGTATTTAACCTTCCATTTACATAATGTTTGTTTTCAACATCTCTGACATCAGAACAAATTATAAAAAATATTGCCTTCATTGAACAACGCATGACTTGCATCTGTCCTGCAAACAAATATTTAGAGAAAACCGATCACATTCAATGCTGTAACAAACGGCCGACACTTGAATGCCCTGATGCTACGATTGCATTGGTTAAAGAAAATATACATTTGAAAGGCAGAGGGGACACTTTACAGATAAGTCGGTGCATATATACATTGTTGCACATTTCTACTTTGATTAACTCTTGTAAACTATCATCTCCTCTCCTCCATCACTTGTTTCACCAGATTAAAAGGTACATATATATTTCCCATGTAGAGTTTATTTAGCTATGCAGTACATCTGGTAACTGCAGCTATCTTCAGTCTGTGCTGTCCTGAGCTGAATCCTCTCTGTACAGGCCGTTGGTTAATTGCTCTTTTCTCCTCAGTCACACAGGAATCTGTTAATGAGCAGCCTCACTCAAGGCCGCTTTGCTCCACTGTTCCCATTCATAGCCCTGTCCATCCACTGTTAACTCAATATCATCTGCTGTTTTGGTTGTCACTTCAATCCCTCTAAATTGCAGTTATTGAACTTTAGGAGGAAGAAAAAAGGATAAAAACAAGGCGGCAAAAATGACCATCAACTGCATCTTCCTTCTCTTCCTCTCTCACTCACTCAGTGTGCATTAAGAGGCTACACACTCTAATCCTGCTGCACTTTACAGTAAACTTACTCAATTTCATCCACTTCAACATCCCTCTCTATCCTTCACTCTCAATCGCTGCCCATCCTTCCCTGAGTTCCTGGAAACTTGGCCTTTCTGTACCATTGGCTCTGTGCGTGCGTGCGTGCGTGTGTGCGTAAATAGCTGTTATGTAATAGCATTGTGGCTGGCTGTGGTTCAGTCCAGCAACCGGCCAAGGTGTCTCATAACACCAATGCATCACACCCTTCAACTTCACCAGTAAACGCCCAGGATACTATTATAAAGGAGATTTAAACGTGTACGGTGAATTTGCAGATGGAGGGGGAGTTTTTTTTATGACTAGAGCCGATGCCTTTTATTAAATCAAACAACAATTAATATCTTACAATGCGCTTCAAATGTTGATATTGTAATTTTTAGCTGTTCTTATTTTTATTTTTTATTTTTATAATCGTCCCATATTTCGTAAAGGGGCCCCAGTATGCTCATTTTCAGGTTTCATAATTGTATGTTGTGCTCTACTGTCAACCTCTGTCTGAAACTCTGATTGGTTAGCTGACTACATGTAGCACTGTTGTGATTGGTCAACCGCTTATAGATGTCCCGCCCCTTATCACGTACAATGTGTTGAAACACTTTGGGCTGACTTTGCCAGGACAGTTAGTAGTAACTACTATTTTGTATTCCTGTGTGTCTATAGAGAGCATTTGTGTACCTGGTGCAGTGCACACTATATGCAAATAACTACATATTGCAGAGATACAATGCTGCTTTCACAGTAGTGCTTCTTATAAACTGAAAAACAGCATGCATTATGTTGCTTGAATCAAGAAGAAGCAAATAATGATAAATAAAGTTTCCTTTACATTTCCCTGATTTTCACATTATTTTACGCAACAGATCTGTGTTCAATTCAGTTTGTCTTACACTGGTGGTCCAGTAGCGCTGAGGCTACAAAGTAGTGTGCCATGGAGCGGTAGTGGTTGGTTTTGACTTGCGACATGGTGGACCAGAAGAACGGGACATTGTCTTTGATTGGCGTCTGGATCATGGACTGATGGACTTGATCGTAGATTTCTGAGACCTGGCAGGAAATAAGGATTAGAGTTACAGAGAGAAGACTTTCAAATACACTTATCTGGATACCATCTCTGATAGAAGTGAGGAATCAGACTGTGGTGACATTATTAACTTACATTTACTTTACCTACAGCTAAAGAAAGAACACAGTGTTCTAAATTATGTGTGTGCTATTTACCTTCGCAGCCTCCTGGGCCATTTTCATCAGGGAATTGAAATGGTTTCTGATCCCAGGCAGTGCAGTCTTCTCAAACAGGCACTCCTGAGCCTGAGCTAGCAGCATCCGGATCAGCATACTGAGCATGGCTGGGCTCATGTCGTAGCTGGGGGTGTGTGTGAACGTCTCCTTCAGGTGGTTCAGGATGCCTGGGGGACGACGAAAGGTTAGCCCAGCTGCAAACCAACTCATGTCAAGTGTGTAGCCACAATACACACCCTTAATGATAAGAATGTCCCCTCATTGAAACCAAATTAATCACATGTTGTATCCATTGCCTTTTCAGTGTTTCACCTAAGAATGCTTTCAGAAGAGAATAACAGTTGCGTAAACAAACATTTAAAGAGCTCTGAAGGGGTGTGAATATTTGGTAGTTATGATCATGACCAAAGTAAGACATTTTCTGAACTGTAAGGACATCAGAGCAACATTTTTAATGGGATTATAAACAAATAAAAAGGGAGGAGGGGGGCTAAAGGATGCCATGTTTAACAAAGCATGCAACCTAAATCAAAATCCTTTTTATGCCTGTAATTAATTGGACACCACAGCGTAAGGATTTCTTTCTTTTTTGTGATTTGCTTGAGGTTAAAAGACCCTGCAGATAACTTAACCATTTTTCTCTTAATGGTTCCTTAATGGTGAAACCAGGGACATTTAATAAACAAAAGCTTTTAAGAGTCTAGCTCGGAAATATGACAAGTAGCCCCACAGCATTCAACAGTTGATAGTCATAGTTAGTTCTACTATTTCAATTGACTTCATTTCAAATAGAGAAACCCAATTCCCCCAGGATAACAATTCTGATCTTGACTGATTGATTCTGATGCTAGTAGTCTGGTAATATAGTTATTGGTTCGGAAACAGCGAACATCCATTGGCAAAACCCAAATAGTCAATTTGCGAGAGGCAAATCGTTTGCTAGTCCCCAGAATGACTTCAATATGCTTTACCCTCCAATAACCCTCACTCTTACACAGATGTTTTAAAAGGTTCCACATAGAGAATAAGGGTGATTCATGTTGTCATGTACTTCTTCCTTTCCCCGGGCCTGTTGCTGCAGCAGTCAGATCAATGTCCTTGTGCTTCTTTAAAGCTGAGCCAAGACACAAACCTTCTTAAATTAGCTTTTCATGCTCGATGGAAGCAATAAGACTTTGCATTCCAACTGAGAGCGCCTCCCTCTTATTTTACAGATTAATAAGCTAGCAGAGGAGAGATGGAGACAACTTAATAACAGAGCACTGCCTCGCTAGTCTTCAGCCATTGTAGGGTGGCTCCTCCCTTTATAAACGTCTTCTTTCCCTGGCTAAAGGGCACTACAGCAGCCTTTCTTCAGACAGCGATCCTGCCTACAGTATCACCTCCATTCGGGTGACAATGTTCCTCATAACAACAAAATAGTTTTGACTTCGTACAAGCCTAAATTATAGCCTATCAAAGCAGCGTAGCCATGGCCCGTTCAGAGCTGTAATTATACTCCTCAAACTGCCAAGTCATAATTCTATCAAGACTTGTCAGAGCTTCCTGAAACCTCAGAGGGGTTGGGGAACCAGTTCATGCCCTGGGTGCTTCTCTGGAGCTCAGCCACATGACAGGAAGCCAGAGAAACATTGAGAGCATTCACTCCCCGTCACGGAGCGCGAGTCAAAGGGTGAAGGCTGGCACGTACTCTGAAAATGGGGCTTTGTTTTGAACCACTGAATCCATTTTTTGTTGAACAGTGCGTGCATTTCATGTTAAGGTCCTTAGGGAAATCTCTGCAACAGGATATCAACGTCTCATTTTATGTAAACCATAAAACTGGTTATTTGTGGGCTGTAGTGATGGGGTGATTTGCGGGTAAAATGTTGAAGGCTAGTGAGAGAAAGTGTACATGTCATGGTTTATTATCCATTTTCCTGTCTTTCTTTCCCAATTATTTAGAATAGGTGCTCTCTGTTAACAGGTTCAGTTAATGGTGCCCTATTATGCTAATGTTAAGGTTCATGTTTGTATTGTGTGCCTTTACTGTTCACATGTTTACAGTGTTGCATAGTGAAGTCAGAAGTAAACAAAGGAGTGGAGTGGAGGCGTTTCAGTCAGGGGGGCAGTGTGGGAGGAAACTACCTCTGGAGGGAACTTTGGGATTTGAACCTTTGCAGTCCATTAACATGTACAAAACGCATATAAACACATTACAGGAATAGGAAAACCCAAAAAGCACAATAGGGCCCCTTGTAATGACTCCGACCTCTTCCTACCTGCGGCTTTCTGAAAGGAAGAGATGGCCTCCTCCAGGCCTACTATCGTCTGTCGGTCGCTGCGGGTACCGATCTGAGAGTAGAGGGCGGCCATGTTGAAGAGGATGCTGGCCTTCTCCAGGGACAGGTTCTGCTGGCACACCGGCACTCCTGTGAAGGAGTCGTACCTGAAGGAAAAAGGCATATATTTCAATTTTGTAAAGCAGGAATCAAGAGAATGAAATTGATGTTAATTTGAAGACAAAAGTATAAAAAAATAAACAGCTACTTAAAAATACCAACTAAGATATTGGGAACTCCCTGGAGGAACGAAACAGGTTTATATAGCAGGAATAAAATCCTGTTGGCCACAATGTCTTGTAAAATCATCTAAAGGCTCTGAGAGGTTAAGCCTTTAAGCTAATCTTCCCCTCTTCTTTATCTCTGCTGCATGAATGAACGAAGAGCCTGAAGTCAGTAGGGGGTCAGATGCTCTTCAGACAGCGCTGGACGTCATCAAATATCCTCCAAATGAGGATCATGAAAACTGCTTGATAAGATTTGTTACTAATCTGATAACCTTAAAAGCATTATTTAAATTCTTCTGTTCAGTATAAAGATTTAAACCATGAGAAAACAAAGGCGAGGGTTTTGTTATTATTTGCCAATTGCAAATTCCTCTCTTTAACAGCGTTTCCCTTCTGCTTGCAACACATTCAGTAAGAAGACATCATCAAATCAGAAAGATGGGATGAACCCAGTCTCCTCTGGGTCACCGCACAGTGTGGTGTCTCTTGGCAGAGATCTACTAGTTGATCCGTGGATTTACGGAAGTAACTTGACTTAGTCTTTGCTGTTTAAGCTCAAAGGCTCTAGGAAACCCTGGTGTAGGGGCTCAGAGCTGCTACAGTAGGTTAAAGAGCAGGACGGCTGTTTTCATCTTTTGTCTTCGTACCAGGTGAAGAAGATGCCAGTCTGGCGGCTTGGGGAGAAGAAGCGGCTCTCCATCAGAGGCAGGTGACTTGAGTATTTTGCCATCAGTTCCACCCCGGCCTCGTCTCGACTTGGCGTTCTGCAAGCCTAGGACAGAGAAAGGTCTCTTATAAAGTCTGTAACAATGAAACACTTATTCACAGAGCTGTTGTTTGAGGGGAACTTATTTAAAGATGAGTTTCATCGTTCAGTAATGATCACTTATTTGATCACGTGTTATCTAACAATGATAGCTTTGCTCTTATCCACTGATGGTTTTCTTAAAATGTGATGATTTAACATGGACATGGTCCGTTAACAAATAAGCTAGCTAAGAGGTTTCTTCATCTTTAATCTAATGTTAGAAAGTCTTTCTCAGATATCCCAGAGATCAATATCGTAAAAAACTAGATGTCCACCTCACATTTGTTTGCTGGATCTTCTGAGGCAAAGCCAACAAAAAGCTAAATGGGATTTTTCCATTGGGTTTTGGAATATTGCAGACAATAAGTTCTGTGGCAAACACATGTTCAATTACACATTTGGTTCAGCAGGATAATCTCCATATATTAACAACTGCTTATTCATAGCTGAACGCTTCAGCTATGAATAAGCAGTTGTTAATATGTGGAGATTATCCAAGCATCCAGCAGAAGTTAAAAGCTAACGTATGGTTATAGAATAATAGAGAAATGATAAACACATAACATCAGATCAGACGGTATGGGGGCGCTACCTGTCGCAGGTCCATCAGTTCAGCAATCTCATCTTCAAAACATTTCCCATCTTCACTGTAGTGCTCCAAGATGAAGTCCTGTCAGAACACAAACAAGCTTAGCATCTCCATTCAACTTGTTATGGCCAGTTTTGGGGGAAGTGCTCTTGAGCTCAATAGTTGGACACTTTATCATGGTGAGAGCTACCATTCTATCAGAGGTAGAAGTCAGACTGTTGCGTGATTAAAGTCAATAAGTAGAGCAGCATTAACATGTTCAGAAAGTCACAAAGCCTGCCCATAAACCTGAACAGGATGCACATTTACAATCAAGACATTTATGAGAGTGCTTCCCCGCCATGGGACATACCTTTATGAGAACTCTTCTAGTCTTAATAACCGCTGACTCACTTAGGTAAACAAGACAGATCTTTTTATAGTCGGATAATTAAATTGAATATATTCAAAGCATAAGTACAGGGCGCAGACAGTGTGACCCAAATACTTCAATTTATAGTATCGAAATCCTTATTGAAAACACTGCCTAACAACATGTTGTATGCAAATGAGCAGTTTGTATGATCTTATCTGCATATATTGGTTTTATTGACAAGTTAGTTTGTTATGTTAGATACCCTTAAAAGATGATACAACACAGTTTAGCAGCATTATTCTGTCTCTCTTTACTCCAAAAGTCATTGAAATGATCATGAAATGCCTGCATTAGACACAAGTATGAATGTTAACTATTTATATTTATTTGTACTGTAATGAAAGGGTGCTTATTCTGTACCTTGAAGAAAGTGGAGAAGTCGATGTCTTTCGTCTCCTTCAGGCCTAGAGCAATGAGGGGGATGTTGGCGGTTTCCCTGTAAACAGAAAGATAAAAATACAGAGTTATCTAATGCTCGATTTAAAACTGTGCTTAGTGTTACCTTATTTATTATTGCCAAGATAAGGAAGTTGCTAATTGAAGCTTGAACAATCACAAATACATTAAATTATATTAAATGCTGGCAACAAAGACAATAACTGCTGACAACACATGATACAGCAGGACTAGAAATACAAAGGACAGTATTTATCTTAAAGTGAGTATAATGTATGCAAAACTGAAAGCATTCATAGGTTAGCATTGAAGAAAAGCAGACTCTAAGGTGTGGTACGAGATATGAAACAAGAAACTCCCTTTGTCAACATACCAAGCATCGTTAGGAAAGTCACGCCAGACTAGAAGTTCAAACTTCTTCTGTTGGGTTTATATCCCAGGAAGCAGGAAGATAGTACAAATAAGCTCACTGTCTCATTGGTTAGGACGGATGTTATCAAGTCTTACATTGGAAAGGATATCTTGCACACTAAAGCGTGGCCCGGATCTATTTGAGAATATATGGACGCCTTTTTATTAATGATGTTAAACTTTGAAGTGAACCATTAAATGGACGACTCATTTCAGCAACAATGCAATGACCAAGCTTATGGACTTTTATATATTTTTTTATAACAATGTTATATTTTGAATCCTTAACAATTAATATAAACCACTGTGTGCTGTATTTTCTTTAAACGTTATTTACTTTACTAAGCTTTTTATCTTTGATTTGAACGTGTTTTATTTTAATATATTTTTGTATTTATTTTCTGTAACTTTTTTTACTTTATGTGTAATATCAAAATGACTAGGCTGTTTTGTCTGTTGTCAAACATGGAAATACAGATGTTTAAATAAATAACAATAGTATGTTCAATGCCAAGATTACCATTTGGTTTACAGACAAAGCCTGTTTAACTTTATTTCAATTTGTATTTATTTATTTGTTAACTTGTTTTTTATGTTTTTGGTTGTCTTTTATTTTAATGTAATATATAAATAACAACAATATGTACAGTGCAAGGATCACACCAGCAGCAGCTTTGTTACCTGAGAAAGTTTACACTTAAGTTAAATCTTCATAGAGGGGGAAGACCAGATTAGACAGATGGTGCTGTAGGAGGATTTCAAAAGGTGAATGGGGCCCCCATGTCTCCGAGTAGCGTTAAGCCTCACATCTCTCCGTTTATACATCATTGGCCCTGCTTTACTAACGCATACAACTCTTTCCTCTCTTCTTCGCCAGAGCAGGCTGTTAACCTTCCATTACTTGAAGCCACTAAAAAGTCAACAGAGGCTGCCATAAAACAGCGGGTTCACCTTCCCCTTCTGATCTCAGCTGTAATGCTTTCTGGTCGTATGAAGCCCGAGGTCTTTGCTGCTGACAGATGGAAAGCAAGTTCAGCTCGTTATCAGAGCCGAGGAAATATAACCTGCTGCGCATCAGGCCGAGTCTGAAAAAACACAAATCTCTCCCCCTACTTGAAGCAGGAAAATGAGGTGTTACAAAATAAACTGCTCTTTTTAAAAACCAGCATCTGGATTCGCAAGGCATTTTGTTACTCGAAACCGACTTCCAATGAGGGCAGGAAGCACGTCCAGCACCATGATGTAGTTTGACCCAAACTGTTGTAATCAGGGTTCTTCCTATCAAAACATTTTGTACAGCCTTTTCCATTGCACAATATGTCAAAACTGCAAGGTTGAAAAAACTAATCCTCACACTCATTCATCACTTGATGATAAGGAGGCATTCCACTGGCATACTGGCTCTTTGAATCACTGAAACCCTCATTCATCAGTAACAGAGCCAGATAGAGGCTGCAGTGCAATCCATTAGTACTTGGAGATCACTGCGGGCTTCTCTCCGGTTTGGCCGTGGGGGGTATCTGTTCTGCAGGGAATCTGAAATGTTAAAAGCCTCTCTCAAGATCACACACACACACACACACACACACACACACACACACACACACACACACACACACACACACACACACACACACACACACACACACACACACACACACACACACACACACACACACACACACACACACACACACACACACACACACACACACACACACACACACACACACACACACACACCAGTGTGCAAGACATGGAACAGATGACCATTGCCATAGCCCTTTACTAAATCTCGAAACTATGCTGACTTATACAGTCAGCATATACATATTGTAAACATCATTTTTGTTTTGTTACACATTAAACTGATATATTTAGGCCTATAGCTATCCATTCTGAAAACCTGGGCTCTTTGACTCAGTAGACACAGGTAGAAAAGGTTACATCATTTGGGAGGTGTGCTTATTTGATTTATTGCTTATATTAACATAAGAAAAGATGTATACACTTAATATGTCTGCCAACTAAATATTGAGCTCGAGCCAAGACACTGTTAGCTTAGCTTAGCATGAAAACTGGAAGCAGTGGGGCAAAACGATACGTTTTGGTTAGCAACACATACCTGTAGCATGATTGCATTCATTCAAGTCTACTAATTTAAGAAGAAGATTATTTGTATGATTTAAATCCAGCTAAACATTAAATGTGTGATCATTTCACACCATTCCCCCCTTGCTATATGTGTTACTAGATGAGGCAACCAGTTTTAAGAGCAGAGAGTTTCGTCTCTCCAACGTAATCTCAGTTGATAGACAACGGCAAATGATTCTTTCCACGCTATCTCAGCAGTGTAGCAGTGAATGCAGCGTCCTGTGGTGCTGATATCTTTATCTTTTCTTGTGTCATCACTTTGGCTCTTCAGATAGTCTCTAAGTCATCTCAGTTAGCTGTCCAAGCCCTGAACATTACAAAGATGAATTGAACAAACACAAATCCTAGTACAAGTAGTAAACATGTAGGTACTATGAGTGACACTTAAGGAATGTCTCATACAGTGTTAGTGATAAGATTTCCAGAATACAGTGAGTTACTGCTATTTTTCTAATGGGGTGGTTCAAGGAGGTCACTAACATTATGTACAGCATGTACTGCACCAGTAATATATGTACTTTCTGTTATGCATTACCCCATGCCAAAACCAGCTGAATCTGGTTTGAGTGAGAAATAACCACAGAGGAAGGCGGTGAGAAAAGGGTAGAAAGGCAAGGAGAAGTTTTTTGTTTCCGTGCTTGACACTGATAGGTTGTATTTCAGGCTGGTAGGAGGAGGCTAACTCTCCATTGTGGCGTCATCCCACTGAAAAATACTTTCTCAACATATCCAATATTCCTGTGTTACCTGTACACCAGTATGTATGACCTTTTTGTCAATTTGGTGGTGTGAACACTCATTTTCGGACACACAATGTTGGAGAGATGACGGTAGTTTCCCAGAATGCCTATTGTCTGTTGAGGGAGCAGGTGTTTCTCTGAGAGCCAGGCAAGAAGGCTGAGTGTTCCCACACTTGAGACGCTCTCATCCCATGTGACGGAGAACAATCAGGCCTAATGATTGTACCAAGCTGTAGCTGTTGAATGTGAAAGATTTTAATGTATTTTTTTTAACTAATAGTCTATTCTATGGGGTTTTGTGCAATGAAATAAAAGGAGGTTGTTTTGTCAGGACTAAATACATTTAGACAGACATATTTTGGTGTCTAATTGTTGACTGATAATAGTTTTCTGTTTTATTTAAGTGAATGTTGTTTTTTTAGTACCATTAATGGTATTGTTTGTATTTAAAATAATACCATATAATGGACTCAGGGAGAAGCAAATGGGGTGTGCCAATGAAAGTGAGTGTTTTAACAAGAAACCCCTAACTAGGTCTGGAGCTCATTAAAATTCCCTAATAAATGTTTTTGGAATGAAAAATCACTCACAAAAAAATGCAAGTTTTCTTTCAATGACCCTCTAACAGGTTACCACAGTTACCACCATACAACACCCCATCTCTCACAATCCTCAACCATCTCCCTACCTTTCTCTTCACTTTGTTGGGATTTGTTGCCATGGGCAACCTGGCATCCTCTACCGAAGTGTGTGTGTGAGTGTGAGTGTGAGTGTGAGTGTGAGTGTGTGTGTGTGTGTGTGTGTGTGTGTGTGTGTGTGTGTGTGTGTGTGTGTGTGTGTGTGTGTGTTGGCAGATGGTTCATTGAGGTCTTAAGTGTTTTTATTAAAAAGCCACCTGTCCGCAGACATGCTTCAATCATAGCTTTGTTAAATCAGCAAGAATAACACTATCTTATATATTTTTTAAAGGGTCTTATCAAAGGGTTACGTTTAATACTTGATTGGTCAATTACGATATTGGGCAGTTATTTATGCATTTAACCTTAGTTGGCTTGTGTCTTTTTAGTAAGTAACCGTGTAATAAGAAGGATAATATAAAGTGAGTTTTTTGACATTATGTTTGTTTATATGAAAAGAAGCCGATACCATATTTGATCACCTTTAATGATTATGCTTCACACTAAAACATTTGATATGTAGCGAATGGAAAACTTGTATTTGGCCTAGAGTTTATCATGTTGTTGTTTCTCAAATCGAGACAAAGCCGCTGAAGTGCTAGCTTTCTGTCAACTGAGTGCTTTTATTTTCAAAGCACCAAAGTGAGCTTTAAAGCTCAGTGTCAGTCAGTGGGTTGGACCTTACTTACAGCAAAGACAGGCGCTAATCTTCAGATATCTGTCTATACTTCGATAGACCTGTAGATTTACAAATCACTGTCATAAAGTCCTTTGTGTCTTACTAAAGCTAACGCATGCATCCTGATGATGTACATGCTGCATTTTCATCCACGCCCCATAAACTTGGCTTGCCTTTGAAGAGGAAAACACCAGAGCCTCACACACACCTGATCATCAGACCCACTGAGAGCAGCTTTGAACTCTATGTTAATCTTAGTTTGCATACAAGTTCAGTTCCTAGCTTCCTTGTTGCTTTGTGCATTGTCTCACAGAAACCAGCTGGTCCAGTTCCCCAACAACAAACTCTTCCACTTTGTCTTGGTGTTGTTCTTTGTCACGCTCTTCCTCCATACGCCCGTTTTGTCTCCTCCTCTGTCATCAAGCCTCTTTCATCTTTAAGAATGCATGATGACTTAACCACATAGCATCAGAGCCAGATCACTCTCTTGTTGGCTGCCAATCAAAACTGTGTCTGTGTTTTTAATCTAAACCTCAGAGGTTTGAGGTTTAGATTTCCAGATTAAGGACTTTGCATGACTTGAACAGTCCTTTTTTTGCGAGTTTAGTCAATTAAAATCAGCTCAGGATTCAGGCCAGGGTCGTTTGTTTGTAAACTGGAAAGCACTGGCTGCATTTTAACACGCAATTTCTTCCATAGCCTCATTACAGGCAGTTGGCATGAAAGTTAACATTTAATTAATCGGAAAAAAATGTAAGTAATTACATTCTTATGCCTGCGGATGCATTGCTACTGACAAAAAAAGCGCAGCATTTGAGTTGATGAGGAAAGTTTGAACCAACGGTGCCAAATAGCTGTGTGGGTAACAAACAAACCTGCACAATGAGTTGCAGCCTCAAGAGAGCTTATCTTATGGTTGCTTTAAAACTCAATTTCATCAATTCCCTAATGAGAGCTTGTTTGGCACATGTAGAAACTTCTGTGCTGCTACGCCTATACATGTACAACTTTTATTAATATTGCTAACAAAGTAGTTCATCTATAGAGAGGAGCAGTAATGACCTTACAACCGGAAATGAGCATTTTCTTTCCTTGTCAGTGTTTTTTTTTTTAATTACTTTTTCTTGAAGGCCCAAAATAAAGTCTGTGGTAAACACAAGCTTATGAGATTTTCCAGTTTTGTTCTGTGACATAAAATATGTCAATAAACACGGTGAATGTCTGATGCATTTATGTGTTTTAAAAAAGGTGATTGGTAACAAGTGGCTAAATGAGACTGCTTCAGCACGCCAAACTAATTAGCCTTTAGCTTAGCGGTGGTGATGCTTTTTCAGTTCTGGTGATCGCATTTAGCTTTCAACTATGTGTGTGTCTTTGCTACAGATATATTGTATTGCAATATTCCAAAATCCAATGTAAAAGCCCCGTTGTCTTTTATCAAGGGAGCTCTTGTGATGCTACCTTTCTATTCTACTGCACTGGTGGAGGCATTAGTAGAATCAGTAGTAATTGGACTTACTGGGTGTTCTGGTAGACCTCCACCGAGCTGTTGAGTCCTTCCAGCTGTCCCATCAGCAGCTGCAGGTTGGAGTTGACGTAGCTCAGCTCCAACAGAACCATCTCTTTGACCTTGTTGTTAGATGTAGCCCTGCACAAGGGAGAGATTTGAGGAAAACAGAATATGAAAAATTGGGATAAAAAAATTGGTTATGAAACTTAAAATAAAGAGCAGAAGTGATCCGCCTATTTTTATTCGCTTTGACATAGCCAAAAGTTTCCTGCAGCTGATTATTAAAACATTGTGCTCCCCATGGTATTCCTAACCACAGATGTGCGTCACTTTGCCCTGCTGTGAACTTGATTTACTCCCCAGCACACTACAGCTCCATCAAGAAGTGTGACTCACAGTTGCAATCCATGTGTAGTTCATCAGCTTATTACCATGGTGAAATCAAGAGAACTGTGACATTGAGTTTCAAAAGACTCATGCAAACGCACCACTTCAAAAATATATGTTATATAAGTTATTGAAAAGTGTGTGTGTGTGTGTGTGTGTGTGTGTGTGTGTGTGTGTGTGTGTGTGTGTGTGTGTGTGTGTGTGTGTGTGTGTGTGTGTGTGTGTGTGTGTCAATGGGAAATGGCTCACTGCACAACAGAGATAAGATTGTGTGTGTTGTCAAGTGACAGGTTTATGTGAATCATAGCATTGAGAGAAAAAGGGAATGGATCGTTTGTAAAGCTGATTTTATAATGCATTGTCAGTTTGTGACATGCATCCATGGTGATACAAGCAAACACACACACAGCTCAGTGCTTTCACGGTATCCTTATCTCTGTTTCCCAGGGAATCCTAACCCAATCTCTGGTGTGTCTAATGGGAGACATTAGCTAAATATATGTGCACGCAAAAAACCTAAACTCCTGTCCGGAGATGTGTCACTGTCACTGTCACCTGATCTTTCTTTCTACCCTGTCATTACACAGGAAGTGACTCTTAACAACAAAGGTGAGATGTGAAGAAGCCACCGGCAGGCTGAAGTCAAGTTCATATTTAAAATGGAGTTTAAAGGGCAGAAATGAGATGACATGGTTTAACCAAGAGTCTTTGAAGGCTAAATTAAAATTAATAATCTTTTATTTTTCATTGTCAGGGTGACAACTTCATCAAATGTGGAAAAGGGGACTTTGGGGTTTCACTGTTTGCAGCCGTTTACATGGACAAAAACCTTTAAAGAAAACACACTGCAGGAAAGGGAAACCCAGGAAAAAAGCCTTATGGGGCCCATTAACAAAATATTAGTAATTATACTGTGTAATGAAGCATGTCTTAACACTTTTCAGGAGTCTATGGAAACTCTCGTACTATCCAACAGTTTGATCTTCAAAACTGGTGCTCCGCTCTTTGGTCTTGATTAATGCTCTTAATTACTGCCTGTAGTTCTTCTCTCCATAAAACTCTTATGTTATGATCATAATGGCATCACTTCCTGTTGGCGCGCTGAAGGGTTTTTGAGGAGGCCTGGCCTGGGGAATCCATCATGATGGAGGAGGTGGATGTGCAGTGGTTTGGCCAGTTTGCCAGCCCAGAGGCTGTTATTAATATCTCATTTAATATCTAATATCATCCCACAGAGCGTGGGAATGGGACAGTAAACCAGCAAATGTGGTATTAACCAAAGTTCCCTCATCCTCTTTTCTGGAAAAGCAGTTTTTCTGGCAGATTGATAGTAAGTTGTATTTTTCCTCGACGCCTAAAATATCTGATAGTAATAGGCGTTGACCAAGATTATTACTCTTTATTATTTAAAGCTTTAAAGGGCACTCTCCCTATTTTACACATTATGTTGAGTTTACTCCTGGAGAGGTTTGCTATGCAGCCTGGGGGACAGAGTTGTATACTGTCTTCTGTAGCTTTCTAAAGTTTAAAAAACACCTAAACCAATAACCAGTGAACATCTGTTGGGTTACAAAACAGGAAACAGCTTGCCAGTAATTGGGACTAAAAGTGAGAAAATCCTGGCCACTGTTTTTGTTAAATAGAAGTGCAACACTAAAATCACTTAAAGGTGGTGTATGTCATTTATTTCAGAAACACTTGTTATATTCCATGGAATGCTCTTAACATCCCGATAGATATGAATATCTTAAGTGCTTTGACAATAAATACAATAAAAAACGTCATCTGTGGAAGCCGTAGTACTGTAAAAATCATTTTAGCCGGGCCGACTAAAGTAACTAGATGGCCTACCTGCCTGTCAGCCTTCCATCTGTGCACAAACTTATCTTGTGCCCTCATTGGTCATGTGCACGTTCGTGTGTGTTGGAGGAGGGGCTCTGTAAGGAAGTGGCAGATTTTTTCCGGCTGTGTATTTTTAAATGCTAGCGCACTCGAGCTGGTTTTCCAAAATTACCTACCCCACCTTTAAGTACTCTTTTAAAGGACTGCATACGGGTGTTTACTTTGCATTTCTGTTGTTGTAAACCTGTCAGTGTTTTTCTCTCTTCCATTATCACTTTTAAGAGAAGCGAGGAAAGATAAGAGGTGAAGAGAAGAGAAATGGAAAGAAATAGAAGAGAAGGGAAGAACTTGTTTGACCAAAGTGACTCCACCTGTTGCTGATAGAGGGAGGAATGCAGAACAAGAGGAAACGAGAAAAAAGGTTGACGATAACAATGAGGAGTTAGGTTACATGGGCCATAAATACAAACTCTTTAATACGACCTATTTACGCTGCTATTTTTGTAATATACTTGGCACAACCTCCATGAAAAAGGTTCTGGAATATTTGGATAATTGTCGATGTGAATCTGTTTTTGACATGGCAACACAGGTGGATGTCCAAACAGGTGAGATCGCCATGAGAACCAAATGGAAGATCACGGATATAAACTGCAGTCCTGCATATGATTTAAAAATAAAGCTAGGAGCATACCTGGTACTCAAAAATGCACCCAGTCTGTTCTCTGGGCTGCAGCTGGGCTGGAGGACACTTGCACAAACACACACTCACAAAAATACACACACACACAGTCCATTTGCCCCTGGCCTTGGCTGGGCAGACCATGTGAAGTACTGGAGGAATGTGGGGGCTTCTGAGGCTGACAGTAGGCTTAGACAGGCCTAATGGACACACACACACACACACACACACACACACACACACACACACACACACGACGACGACGACGACGACGACGAC